ATATATATATATATATATATATACATATATACATCTAACTTTCTAAATTTCCTGGCATTATTTAAAATAATGAAGCGGTTAGGAGATAAATGTTATTGCAAAGACAAAGTAAGCCATTAACCTGTTATTATTATTATTATATTATTTCTTATTGATATTTAGCCACTATCTTTTTAAACTGTTATAGAATATTACCAACAATAAAGAAATATATATAAAATAAAAATTTCATTAAAAATGTCCTAGATTTATTTCATAATTCACAATTACCAAGAAGAATCTTATCTTTATGATACTTCTCTTTGTACATGTAAACATATACAATAATATATCTGTATGTAAACATAAAATGATTGATTTATTACTAACAAACTACTGTTCAAAAAATGTATTTACCAGTATTAGATTATCTAAACTTAAAAAGAAGTCTACAAGCGTAATTGCGACATAATATTTAATATCGTCTTTGGACTTTATTATCCTTGTATCAATATTAATGATTATTACCCTTAGAAAATATAAGAACCGTATTAAATAAATATTTCTCGTCGTTCATTACGAATTTATAGAATCAGAATGCTCAGTGATTGTACAAAATTAAATATAACTCGCTCGAGTGCCAACACGGTCGTTGATTTTTCCAATTTTGCTCATAGTCTTGAAACTCTAAAAAAATTTCACATTTTCTCTTGCAATGACGTGTCAAAAAATCGTTTGTGCGACAAATATGTAATAAAAAAAATATAACAGATATCATTTCAAAAATATCCTTCATTCATATGTATAATTGTAGCTTTAAGAATATGAATGAATATTAATTTTATTTTATTTCAAAGTCATACAACGTTCTTTCGAACTCCAAAGAAAAAAAAAAATTTCTTTGAACGACTATTTTCCAACTTTTCAAACTTTCATCGAATGTTTTATGTGCAAAGAATATTTGTCGACTAGATATCATCGCCTATTACCAAATACACTGAGCTAGAACCAGCGCTTTGCCAAGAATTGCAAAAAATCGTGGATGCACTCGTAGTACCAGGAAAAGGACTATTAGCCTGTGACGAGTCTCCTTCGTCTTTGCAAAAGCGATTCGATGATCTGGCGGTGGAAAATACCGAAGCTAATCGCCGCGATTACCGACAAATGTTGTTCAGTGCTGATAAGGTCATAATTATGTGTAATCTGCAGCACTTGCTTATCTGTCTAAAGTATAAATATAACAGCGATAGTTGTTATATTGAAAGTAAAAAGAAATTCGAATATCTGTCTCAGAAAATTATGTTTAATCTCATTGAGAATTCTCGATAACTCGAATTTCACCTTTACGAGATCGCATTGCAACGATGATCTGATTAGTACATTTGCTTACTCTTTTCCGTCGTAGTCCCAATTTTCAAAATACATAAGCGGTGTTATTCTACATCACGAGACAGTGTATCAAAAAACGACAGATGACGTCGAGTTGATCGAACTGCTACGTGAGAGAGATGTCGTACCCGGCATCAAGGTCGATAAGGGCCTTGTCCCATTATTTGGTTCGAAGGACGAGAACACTACGGAAGGCCTGGACAATTTGCAAGAGAGATGCATTCAATATAAACGAGATGGTTGTCACTTTACCAAGTGGAGATGTACGTTCACAATCTCGGAGACGACGCCGAGTCAACTGGCCATGGTTACGAATGCGAACGTCCTTGCAAGGTTTGATTTTAACGAATCACTATAGTCCCCCTATTATCATTTCATTGTAATCGAATGGACTAGTTACTAGGATGCAAGTTATGCCAGGTTTGCAGAAAACTAATGAAAATGATTGATCACCTAGGACATAAATTCAGCATTTTTATTTTGTATTCAAGTTGATCGAATTGCAAAAGATGCAAACTGTACTTTTAAAATTGAGTAGAATTTATTGATTTTTTTTTTCGTGTATTTATTTTTTAATGTACTCTATTTTCAAACATAAATTGAGAAAGAAACTCAGAAACATTGAGAAAGAATTTCTATTCCTGCACTCTTTAAGTTGTCCGATACTTATGGTATATCATTAAAAAAAATATATATATATATATATATATACATATGATTGCATCACGTCACTGATTAAACGTTATAATTGCAAATTTTTAGATGATTCAACATATATTATTGGCTTATCTCTAACTGAATACATCTTTTACTTTCGTAAATCAATTATTATTCGATTAACTTGGCAAACAGTTTTTTGCACATCCAAATCTATCAATACGATAAGTTTTATTGATAAATTTATTCGTAAATCTTGAAATTTTATTACGTAACGTATAATCAAATAATGCTTTTTTTTTCTTTAGATATGCCAGTATATGTCAGAGTGCACGAATGGTACCTATAATAGAACCAGAAATATTGAGTCATGGTATCCATGGCATAAACAGAGCGTTAGAAGTTCACGAAGAAGTACTATCAATTTTATTTCGTATTTTGCAAGAGCACCGTGTCTACCTTGAAGGCATGATCCTGAAGGTAGCGATGGTCTTGTCGGGAATTAAAAATTCTGTCAATTGCAATCCTCAGGTACAATAATTTTTAACGTACGCAGTATCTACTGAACAATATCACACAATTTTGTAAAATCATGGAATTGTTATATCGTTTCTAAACAATTTATATAGTTCAATTGATTGATTAATTAAATATTCGAATTTCTACTAAACTCTACGGAATTGCGTACAAATTCGCAACATTCTAATTAATGTAAAACTAATCGAACGATTATGAAGAACAACTTAAACGAACTAAAATGAAACGTGAAACTACCAATGACACATATCTTAATCACATATTAATAATTTTTATTATTAAAAATATACGTAGATTGTTGCTGAAAATACGATAACAGCTCTTCAGAGGACAGTGCCACCAGCAGTATCAGCTATTATATTTTTAAGCGGCGGACAATCGGATGAAGATGCCGTTATAAATTTAAACGCTATTAATGCTTACGAAGGGAGAAAACCTTGGCCTCTTACGTTTTGCTATGGCCGTGCTTTACAAGTACCCTCAAATACCTTAATTCCAATTAAATTCATAGAGAACTTCCTCATGATCTTATAGCTTGTTTATAATGTATAAAATACGAAATTGCTCGCAATAATCCTACTTTTCAAAGAACGCAGCAATGGAAGCATGGAGTGGAAATTCAGAGAAAGTGCAAGATGCTCAGGCAGTATTTCTGGAAAGAGCAAGGCTCTGTTCGCAAGCCTCGTTGGGAGAATTAGATCCTGGAAACGGCATGTGCACGAAGAAAAGCTCTCGTTGAAACAATCGATCAACTAACAAATGCACAATAAATTATGCATACGTAGAAGTGAATGTCATAATTCTTTTGAATATTCGGTCTTCGGTTGCGTCATGCAGATTCCAATTACCTAGTTCCGATTGCTCGTCTGCCCATTCGAACAGCGATTGATATCTAGCGCATCTTATCAATGAACTTCACCGTGTAAGAATAAAGATATTTCGGCGAAAAACAGCTTGCACTTCATTGTGACTGTGTGAGAGTACGTCGACCTTTACAGCGAGAAGTTTCATCAGTAAATTCGACGAATGTCACGCAAGGTGCCCTTGACTGACCTCTAAAGCAGAGATGCTCAATCGAAGGCTTCCGCCACGTTACGTGCCAGTGGAGTCGTATAACGTTCGGGAATTTGCTCCGTTAGTGGTCGATACGTCGTCGTCATCTCTATGGATCCCCACCATCCATAGTATTTTTTTGTACCCCTTATCCTTCTAGACCCTAGGTTTTATGAACCGGATAATCAACACGTGCGCTCAGCAACGTCGTAACTATAGAACACCTATATTAAATACGACTTGGACATATTATATTTTTAATTCGTTTTCTTGATAGACATAAGACGGAATCGTGCAGAAGATAAGATGTGGAAATATCATACGAAGATGTTACATGATGTTTTAGTGCATTTGTAGAAAATATGTTTATACATGTATGTACATGTAATGAACAATATATAAATAGGATGGCATTAATCGTTAGATTATTGCGAAATGACTTTAATTATAGTACTTGTATTTTATTTTCGCAATACTTCGATCTTGTGATTGAAATTATTAGAGAAACCTTGCGATCGAGAATTTCGTTGTCAAGTATGATATATCTGTTGTACAAGGCTAATTTTAAATACTTCGTGTGATGCATGTTTGAACAAGTAGCAATAACAAAATATTCTACATATCAAACGTTGTTAAGAAAAATGAAACAAACTTTCTCACGTACGCAATAGAAATGATCTCCAGTATTATTTTTCCGTAGAAAATACGAGAAATTATTCTATAATCTTTTTCAAAACGTACAATAATAATGTATTTTTGTCACTGAAATATCCGTGGTGCTTAATTCTATATTTACGTACCTACGTCGTTTCGTTTATATGAATGGTTTTTCGAGCCGTAGTTGAGAACCTTCACGATTGTAAGAAGTGCGCATGCGCCAGTATCATTCTTGTTCAGACTTTGAAACCAACGAATACCCTAGACTCACCTCAGTCGCTTTCCAACCAGCAAATTGTACGACCCACGCATATACACGCGTTTCAAATCAAGAATTATCTCATCAATATAAGGTAAGTTACATTTCTGCGTGTTTCTGAATGAATAATCTACTGGAAATTGAAATGAGAAGTGCCACGCGTTTTTATGAAATTTTTATTGATTGCTTCATGCCGGAAGATGTGAAAACTGACATTTGACCTGCAATGAGATTCGACCTTGACTGACATTTGGTTTCTACACCCAGTTAAATGCTTTGTATCTTGAAATAGTACGGATCTACATCAATGACATTGTTCAATGTTTCATTGTATATTACGTACGCAAATTTCTAAGAAGTTACATGATGTTTTCACATGTATATTCGTAGTATACTGTAATATACTGGTTTAAGTTCAAGTTACACGTATTATGGCTGTTGTGTTACAAGTTTTAAAAGCAACGAGATTGATGACTTAATAGTTGTTCGTATTTATGTTGAAATATAAATGAAAATTATGCACAACTTCTTCATGCTTGCGTTTCTGATATTTTTGGATATAATAAAATTTCGTTTGAAATAAATTATTTTTATTTCAATTTGTAAATAGAAAAAAAAAACTAATATCTTTAACGAAAATAAATTATGCCCAAATGAATATTAGAAAAAGTCACTTTCGTTTAATAATAATCTCCTCATGTGATTCATTAATACATGACTCGGAAGTCGTGATTAATGAATATGAACTTGGCTATAATAATGTTCGATAATAACATGTACCTGTATTCATTGAACAACTGAAAATCTTGTGAAAATATTTTATGTATATATCATGACTAATTTTAGTTATCAGAGTACAATCTTAATATTATCTTAATCAGATCTTAATATTTAGTTATCAGAGTACAAGTTCCTTTCTATTATCAATATAACCTACAACTAGGTTAGGAAATATCCGTGTCTTTACAACACTACTGTAATAAATTCTCTTTTCGTAAGATATAGAAAGTATAGAAAGAAGAATTGTAATTTAAAAGTGACTCTCGAGTTATGTGTGTATCAATTACATAAAATCAATACAATTCCCATCTTCGTTGCATTTATGCATGTACATAATTTACATGCTGCATATCATTTGTTAATATTTCTCATTTTGAAGTGCACGTAAATAACATATTGTATAACAAGAACCATTTAATAAACTAGTATACGTGTCAGCCTAATTTCTCATCGCTGTTTCTTCGACGGCTATCATTATTACTTTTCAACGACCATTTAATTTAGTTTCGTTAAATATAATCAACAACGATGAATGATTAGATCGTAGGTTAGAATTAGATCGGTTGTTTACAGGCATTGTCCAAAACTGGCAAGAACTTATGCAATTCGAAACAACCTAACATATACTGCGTGACCGTGTACATACGTGCCTAAGATCATTTTGACAACAGTGTCGTGTGTAATATAGTATAGTAGACGAAAAATTAGCAACGATGAACACGTGACTGCGACTCGAGATGCATCTGTGTCATCCACGCACACTATTGCAACCAGACGCATGTATGTCAGCTTTTTCCCGGGTATTTCGTCATACATTCTTTCGTCTCATAAATGCGAATAAAGCTTTGGCGAATTACCAGTTTCGACGCCATTTCACAGTGGCCTTCTATTACTAACCAATATTCATATATATATATTTTTTTACTAACGGATTTTTCGAAGCAGAACAGTATCTTTTCATGTCATCGAATATTAAATCTTCGCAAATATTAATTTTTTTTTCGATTTTTGAAAAATATGTATCAGATAATTGTACATAAATTTATAGAAATGTATAGAGACAAGTTAGTATCTTGTGAATTGCTGGCTAATGATTAGACAACTTTCACTGTTTATGATTAGTCATACTTTCACATAGATTTATGAATCGTGTTTTGCCAAGAAGAAAGTGAAATAAAAAAAAAAATCGATAATCGACGTTTATCATTAATTGTTAATAATGCATACGTCGTGATACTGATAATTTGCTTATTGGAACGAACTAGTTCATATTAATAAAAATTATCCTTTTCATTGGATTTACTAAATTCGTAACTCTATTTTGTCTAGAAAAATACTATACAGTGTTAAATAATTATTTACACGTGTATAATTACTGTATTAATAATCTACGAATTAAATTCGTTTACAACGCATGTGAAATATATTAAATACAACATTAACTTTCAATCATTGTTATTGTCTTATCCCGGTAACACACCAAATTATTTTGCTTTATCCTCTTTTATACATATTTCACATATTAATGTTTATTTTGAAACCTTTACGTTTCCTAACAATCGTCTTAAAGCTTGAACTCAATCTTATAAACAACTTATCTGCCCATTTTCATACAAATAATCAATCATAAAAAAAACTGATAATCTAAAAACAAAAAAAAAAAGTAGGAAGGTAATGAAGAAATCTACTCATTGTC